CAAAAAATAAAACAAAATGCGTTATTAATTACTAGTTATTTAAAGCTCGCTCTCTTTTCATTACTGCGGCTGTTAGTTGTTTGGTGGGCTGGTTCTTTTAAAAATCGTGTTTGTGGTTGGGGAGACGTTAACAACAATATGCTTTATGTTTTAAATATGTAACGTAAAAATAGATATTAAATAGTTACATATGCATATAGTATTACTTCCTAGATACATATGAATATATTCTAATATATTTTATAAATATAAAAAAAATAAGTTGAAGTTTGTTTAGAAATACGGAACGACTTTTTCGACTAGCATATAAAGCATCTTTTGGTAAAGGAAAATGGTAATCGATAATTTCGAAAGTTGATTTTTAGTTTTCAACCTATAAATTTTTGAAGCGCAAATATTAAAAAAAAAATTCTTGATAATTAAAAAAAAATAGTTTATGTATCGATATTTTTTAGGTATAAATATATATTTTTTGGAAATGAAAAATGTAAATGATAATTTCGAAAGTTGATTAGTAGTATTCGACTACTTACAAATTTTAGAAGTGCTTAATTTAAGAAAAAATTCTTTTAGGAACGGATATATTTGTAGGTATACATACTATAAATCATATTTCGAAATAAAAAAGTGTAATCGATAATTTCTAAAGTCGCGCTCTAGTATTTTCATTTTTACAATTTTTAGAAATAACAGCCTAAAAAAAACTCGATAATTATATAATAATAAAGATAATAGATTTTTTAGATATTACAATTTTTTGCTATCGATATTTTTTGTGTATTATATTTACTTAAAAGACTTCAAATAGCGTCTCACGATTTTTTCACTTACAGTTTGGCGCCCAAAAAAGTATATTTTAAGCAAAATCGAGTATAACCACACCATTTATACCTTTTGGTAAATAATTTAAATTTAATATATATATACTGTTTATAAATTGAACATAAAATTGTAGTTAAACTAAAAAAACTCAAAAAAGCTGTTTGCGTCGTAGACTTGCGGAACCGCACAGTTGTTGCTACAAGCTCAATAAAAAAAAACTACAACAACAAACAGTTGAAATAATAAAATTATACAATACAATTAAATATGCTAGTAAGAAATATACAAAACAAAAGAATTGCCCGAACTATGCAAAGCATACGCATTTTTCGACAGCTGCCACATACTCACACACACACATATGCACTTGCGCTGAAATATGCGTTTGTACGAAAACATTGTTTTCGAAAATTCAAAAAAAAAAAAAAAATATTTGTTACAAGTGCATACGCACTGCATTACAAGGAAATCATAATTTTTTGTTTTTTGATTTTTTTTTTTTTTAATATACACAGCTCCATACAAACATATTGAAGATAAAAATAGTAAACAAAAAGCAGAAAGCGACACATGCAATTAAATATTAACTAAAATTTAAAATTAAATTATTGAAAGTAATGCATTCAAAAGAATAGCATTCAAGCGAAAGCATAAAAAAACAATATACATATATATAAAAATGTTTTGCAATTAAATTTTAAGCATAAAAGCAAGGAAACACAAACAACGCTGAACATGTTTTATCATAAGATTTTTTGCACTTAAGTTAAATAGGAATAATAGGATTTTTTAATTTTTCTGCGTGAACCCGCCAAATAAAAAATATGAAAAAAATATAAAAATTAATTGGTTATAAATATAATATAAATCTACTATTATAGTACTGTGTCAGTAAATATATTGCACTAGTTTAAAAGAATTTTTACTTAACAAAGTAATTAAAACAAAAAAGGTACATAAAAAATTAGATCAAAGGGTATAAAATTAAGATTAATTCATTAAACAAAAAACTGCATAGAAAACTATTAAAACTTTGTAATATTTTCCAAAAACGCTAAAAAGCGATATTTTCTGCAAGAAACAAAAATTCTACAAATTAATTGAAACCATAAAAGATATGCGCGTAAAAATACAAATTATCTCTTAACAAGTAAACAAAAAAAAATTATTTTAAAATAACTGACAAAGCATAATTTTTCTATAAATACCACAAAAGCATTAGTAAAACAATCATATAAACACAAACAGCAGACAGTCTTGAGTAAACTTCCCAAAATCATTGTCAATAGCGTCTAAGGTATAATGCAAATTAGCGGAAGCAGTAATTAAAAAATAAAAAAAGCACACACACAGGAAAAAAAATAAATTTCGTTAAAAAATAACTTCTGCAAAAATATCTGATGCTCCAAAAATAATAAAACAAATTCCATAAGTTAGAAAACCGGCAATTACCGCAAAACTCCCAAACATAGTTACAAACACACACATACACAGAAAATTGCATCTTCACAATTCCATTGTAAGATGTAGAGAAAATAAGATGGTGAAGCAAAACCAGAAAGTAAACGCCGAGCGGTAAATTATAACCGTGTAAGCATGTAAGCAAGCAGCAACAACAAATACTGAATAAGTTATAATTATTGATTAATATATATATATATAAATATATATATCATTAAAAAT